AGGCCCAGGAGGCACCAGTCACTGAGCTGAGGGCCAGGGCTCCCCCACCCTGCATGCTCCACTGTGGACCTGGAAGAGGACCGGAATTACTTCTGGTCCACTTCCGGGTCTGCTGCTGAGCACGCAGAGGGGCCCCCATGTGCTCCCATGGGATGCTCCATCTGCCCTACCATCTTGGCGTTCACAAGCCGTGCCTTGTACCTAGAGGTACACAGAAAAACATAAAATGCTGTGTCTATGGCTGAAAAAAAAAAGCAGCTCAGGTAAATTATACTTTGCCAGATTAGGTTTGGTTAGTTATTTAGATACAATTTTTAAAATCTGTTCAGTCAACTTTGTTACATATAACTTATAAATATGAAGCAACCAATTTAGGAATATTAAGTTTACAAAGCAGTCAGTTTATGAATGCCGTTTACTATACTGATATAAAATAGTTAGATGTTGATCCACTTATAAAAATATTTATTTATTATTTTTTTTACAAAAAATTATTAATAAACATTACTTGACAGACAGTGATTTGGTAGAATAGCATGCTCTGATACAAAGAACATTTTAAAAGTAAGCAAGCATTTTTAAAGTCTTATAGTACCTCCACGCCTTAAAATCTGGATATCACTGTATATTCAAAGTACTCTATTCATATCTATAATATATTTGTGAGGTTGGTAAGAAAAGAAAGTATAATTTAAGATGCAGTATTCAGGCACCAGGTAAGCCATGCAAACTTGATACCCAAGACAAATATAGAATATTTGATCTTTATGCTGTAATATTTAGCAGGTATATGTTTGTTGTTGTTTTCTGTTCTAAGTTTGGAAGAGGAAAAAAAAGGAACCACAGGAATAGGTAACTTATAAACATGAAAGTCCACGTGCCCATGAAAGTCCATCTGATCTTACTTTATGCTTTAAGTTCATTTATCAAAAACCATAGTCTTCCTTAGCAAAGAGGACATGGGTTTTACTAGCACAAAATAAAGGTGGTGGAATTTAAAGGTGTAAAAAACCATGAAAATTTCTTACATACTATGAATTATGGTGTCAATGCACTATTCTCAAGTGTTAAGAAAAAGAGAAAGAGGTATCCGAACTGTAAATTAAATGAGGTAGCTAACATACTTGCTGACAGACTAACCGTGTAAATACATTCTATCTTCGGTGGTGTAGGTTGTAGCTGTGTTGGTTTAAGGACATAGGCAGACAAGGTTCTTTGGGTGAATCTGATATCTTTTATTAGACCAACTTAAATAGTTGGAAAAAAATTTTAAAGCAAGCTTTTGGGTTTAAAAACCATTGTCAGGCTGAGGAAGTTTCTGCAGTTGGCGTGTGCTTGCTTCTAACTTCAGTATCATTTTCAGATTTTGAAAAAAACAGACATACACATTTAAAATACAATATCCTTAAGGTGCTTTGAGTCATGGTCTGACTTTCAGAAATGATCAGCTGCTTAGTAATTGAAGCAGGTTTGGGACATTTAGCAGTTTAGAAAATCAGATAATTTTATAAACAATGCAGGAACTCATATTTAGTTAGCTTCCCCTATGATTTTGGGGTTTTAGAGAAATCAGGGAAAAACTTTTCTGAGAAAGAGACTATGTACATATTTACCTCATCTTCAACATCAATGAATGTGCCCATATCTAGCTCTTCAGGAAAAGTCATACGGTCATTAAGTTTAATCCTATGCATAGTGGTATAATCAAAGTCAAATCTCTTCAGCTGTAAGGTTAACAGGTATGGAAAATGCAAAAATCGTAACCCCTATATAAAAAAATCCAAACAAACAAGATTAATGTGTATTTATATATTTATAACATAGGTAAATGGTTTTTCCCCATAAATTTCATGTAGTTACCTTCCTGGCATCACATTTCTTCTTACAGCGTTCACAGAAATACTGATTGGGACCATCAAGGATCTCAGGCTGAATAAACGCATGTAGAGCTTCCTCCTAATAAAAAAAAAGGTATTTTGCCTTCTTTTTAAGAATGTTTACTTTTTACTTGTGTAATCTAACACATTAAGTTTATGCTCTGATTGTAAATCCACAAATATATTGCTATAATTAATATTCATAATCAAAGATGATTTAAAGTGTAGAAAACATAAAAAGTCAAAAAAAGGAAAACATCAAGGGAAGCCAACTTTTCCGCCCAACCCCAGGGTAAGCAGTCAAATCATAAGTGACAAATTATTACTGTTAATCATCATATTTCATTCAGCATTGAATAGGTCCACCAAGTCCTGATTATGCATACAATCTATAATGAAATATATTCCTATCGTCTTGCACATCACATTTAACCACTTCTGTTCAATCAGTTGCTGAAAAATTGATCTTCCTTATTCTGCTTTGGCTAACTAGATAGCCCCATGTCCATTCTCCCAGAATTTAAGGAGAGGTATATCCCTTCAGGATTAGTAGTTTCTTCTGACATGCATCACCTTATGCAGAACATAAAATGAAGAAAAGGAATATTTTGGCTCTTCAATGTCGTTATTGAAATTGGTTGTCTATCAATTCACAAGGGAACTCTAAAGCTGCTTTTGAAAAAAATCTGTTATTTCTTTTAAATGTATGGAAACATCACTGTTTGTTCCAGTGCAATGAAGAATATAAACACCATCTTCCAAGAATATATTCAGCTTATTAGCACACAGCTATGAGGTTACAAACTGAAAATAATAATAAATTATGTCCTCCAATAGGTGCATGCAAGATCTTTTACTAAACCTTTTATATATAGTGATTTCATCTAGCTTTTCTGAGTAGTAAGGAACAATTAAATATAACCAACTGGTCATTTTTCCGCTCTTCTCCACATTGTTTTCATCAATGAAATAATGGAAACAAACTGTACATACTAGTAAAGAAACTTGTGGAAACAAAATCCACTTGTAAAAAAAATATATTTTTCTTTTACTAATTAGATGAAAAATTTTACCCAAAGTTATATAATGCTAAAACTTTTAACCCAATTAGCTTGCAAGCTGCCAGCCTGGGTTCATGAACTCCAGATGGTACTCGGGAGTTATCTGTTCACCTGTGGAGGTTAAAATAGAATATCATTGGCACGTTAATTAGATTCTTATTTTGAAAGAGCACAGGGTCAAATAAACATAAATGATGCCTTGAAAGTCATTGTCTGTGATGGAACACAGTTGTTCCCTAAAGGCTGAATAAATATAAGAGCGGGGCTTAGTGGGCAGAATAGACTCACCAATTGCAAAATGGCTGGCACAGAGCTTATAAGATTACTATCTAAATCATGTTGTTTGATGGATCCCAGTTTGGGAGGAGATCAAGGATATGGGAAGGTCTTCAAAAAGCCTCCAATTCATCCCTTCTCCCTCCTTCTCTTTCTGAGAACTCAGGGAAGCACTAAGAACAAATAACAAAACAAAGGTTTTACAGCCCCTGCTTTTCCATATAAGCAAAAGTTCTGTTATTGTTGTAAGAGAAGAGACTCTACAAAAGGACTGTTCTATAGACCACAGATGCCTAGCAAATGAAAAATGTGCCAAACTTCAGAAAGAGAGCACAGAGAAAGTAAGTAATTATCATGCTTCACTATTTTTGTACCTAAACCAAGAGAAAAAATAATTTACCTCTGACCAAGCCTAAAAGAATCCCAAGCCTGAAGAAGGTAGGGTTTCAAGATACGCCAAACATTTGTAAAGACCTTTGAGTAAACTGACTGTGTACAAATGTACTTCCTACATATTGCAGAAGTTAAAATAGTTCCCTTTAACCTAAAGGCAACAAAAATATTAATGTACTGAGAAATTATTTATTGAAATGCAGCAAACTATATTCCAAATATAAACAAAAATATGTAGATGGTAAGTAAACTATAAATTTAGATTTACGAGAGACCACTGTGTTCTGACAGCTAGACTTCTGAACACTGACTAAAAGTTTTAATAATCAGAACAATTTAAATGAAAATGAACAAGTCAACAGCCAACATGGAAAATACCAAACTTAGAAGACAAAACAATTATGGCTTGCAAAGGTGCCCCTTATGAAATAAATGCCAGCCAGTATTCTTATAAACCTTCTTCATAAGCTACCATAAATGTTTCTGTGGTACTGTTTCATTCCAGAAATTACTATAGTTTATGAAAGATACAAGCAACAGCTTCTATAAAAATATACTATACAGCTTCTATATAAAATAAAAGAAAATCATTGCAATTCATTCATCAACAAATAAATGACGTGAATGATGGACAGAAGTGGTTATGTAAAGTATATGCAGACTCGGTGCTACGTGCAAGTCGACAAGTACCATACTGTAATATATTTTTATGTATGGAAAAAACAGGTGATGCTCCTATGGACCTCCAAAAACTGAATGAAATATTATGAAAGATAATGTATCATTAAATGATTTAATTGCTTACCAGAGAATTAGTGAATTGTGCTTGACCTATAACTTACTGTAATTTTAATACCTGCACTATTTTAATACTTTTAGGTACCATTCCCAACATTTCTCTTATACGTGGAAATATTATATGTTGCCATCCCTTAGGCATAATCTATTAATTTTTCCAAGACTAACAATTTTTTACTATCTCTATGTCAAATTACCCTGTTGGTTAACATAAATATTCTCAATTGCAATTAGTATTGCATTGATCAATCTCTTATCCTTTCTTTTCCTTTTTGTGTCCTTGTGACAAAGTATTTAATGGAATTCACCAATTCGTTGGAATCTGACAAGCCACACCATGACCACTTCAGCTATGGCCTTGAACCTGCAACCGCTGGGCTGTCAACCATGTGCCTTAGTGCCTGCACCATGCCAGGCCCCATTCTCTCTTATAATTAGAATATGTTTACTCTGAAAAATGAATTAACCATTGGTATAAACTTAGGCTGTCATCCACCATGTGGATAATATCATGTGAGCCCTACTTTCAGCAACTATACTTTAAGAGCAAGATTTTATCCATGAGGAGACTGAATGTATTATTATCCAACCTCACAGCAAGCATGCATTTGAAACATTTAAACATCCCCACTGTAAATTAATCATCATTGAAATCAAGAATGTTTTAAAAAGTTTAAGCAGTCTAATTTCATCCCAAACTAATTCTGCCTGTTCTTTTATAAAAAGAATGAATGTAAGCTGTAACATATTAAAACCTACTGCAATGAACCAAACTAGTTACTGCCTGGCTGTAGAATGGCATTTGGAATACATTCTCATTTTTCACAAAAATTCATTATCATATAGGTCTGATAGGTACTCTGAGATTACTGTAAAGACGCATTTAAAAAAAAATGGACTCTGGGTAGAATCTTCTAGAAAAAGTTTTAGTATGGATGTAAAACAGAAATGTAGTAAAACTGCCCCTGAAAATGCAAATAGCAAATTTGGGATGGTAAGCCAATCTATAATTAATAAAAATTCCATCTAGCTTGTAAGCTTCTGCTGAATTGATGCAAGTACATTTGCTAATTCATGCCTCAAAGCTACACTAGCAATTCAAGCAACAACAAGACTGCCAAATTAAAAGATAGAATGGGAACTTGTGCAAAAAAACAAAAACAAAAGTTAATATGACACTTATTTTTCGATTTTCAGGTAACTTCTTTTAAAATCCAAGTCAGGCCAGTAATGGTAGTATCACTAAAACTGGAGAGCTGTTTGTGCAAAGTAAGCTGACAGTCTGACTCTATCGCCTACAGAAGGAAAGGCCTACTCATGATATCCTTGAATCTTCAGTGGAAAGTCAATATCCAGAAAGGTGCTGCACACCAATAATTCCTATAGCAATCTGCTGACCCTCAATTCATTTTATAACTGGGCCAGCTGATGAAGCACCAAAGAAACTTATATTTTCTTTTGGGCTAAATACAGACATTTGGGCATTAGGAGGAGGTTAAATCGATTAAAAATAGTTGCCTGATAAGAAAGGCAGGATGGGGGAGGAGCTAGATGAGGTGTTGGGGTCCAGCAGGCTGGAGGTGATCAGGGGTCAACTGGAGAATGAGGGGGGAAGAGGGGAGCAGGAGTAACCTGTGAAGGGGGGAGGGGAGGCGTGACCTATGAGGGGTGGATGAGAGGTGGCAGCAAACGCTGATGAAAGTGGGTGCACCGGGAGCAGTGGGATGGGGGTTGAGAGGGCTGGCTGGGGAGCAGCAAGGGGCC